GCTTAAGTTAAATTTTACAAAAGACAATATAATTAGCCCATTAAGTTTACCATACAAGCATCTTACCTAGTGTATCAACTCTTTTTTGATTAAGAAGGATCTTTTCCAGGCTTTTTGGGAAGTGTACCACCCACTCCTTGACTTACAGATTAAAAAAAAAAAGAGCAATTTAGTTGAAGTCAAAAGGCGTAAAGAAAACACCTGAGGTCATTGGCTGGTAGAGGAAAACCAAACAGGTGGTAAAACTATATTTTGTAATAAAACCGTATGATCCACCTTCCACTAGTTCATAAATTATTCCAAAATAAAACAGAGGGTCTTAATTGGCTGGAGGCTTTTTCGCACAGCTAACGTAAACTAAACGGTAATTTTGTTTGTCTTGTTTTTGCTACCGATTTATTCCCTTCCCCTTTGGGAAATTAAAATCTCTATTTTTTTTCATTTTTGCGCAAGCTCGTTTGATACTGGGCTATCTTAGAAAATTCTGGGATGAAAGAAAATCAAATTAAATTTTATCCAAGATAACCACGAAACACATAACTGACTAGATGAGCAATCCTTGCAATTTTAAAAGATCGAAATGTGGCTACGCAATTCAATGGCTTACTTTTCCTAACGTTTAATTTCTTCATATTTCAACGGGAGCCGATATGGCTCATGATTTCGGCATATTTTACTCCAATCCGTTAGTTTACGACTGCAGCCGCAAATCCCGATGGTTACTTTTGGCATCCCCCGGGGTATACTTACAATCTCGAATCTCGCCCCGATTTTGCTTTACAATCCCGAATGTCCCGAGCTTCAAAAAAGGGAAATCCCGAACAACCTAGGGGGTCTCAACATAGAGTATTTGGTAACAAAACAAAGAAGAAGGGAAGAGAAATTATGGGTCTGAATGATATTACTCTTGGTTTTGGAGGCGGGGGAAGTGGACTCCTTGAAGATATTTTGTCCCATTATGCGGACGTTTCTTTTCAGTGACGTGGGGGAGTGCTAATGAAACCTTTCATAGCGTAAAAGGCGTTTTCTTTGTTTGAGTCCTTGAGGAGTCGCCATAAATCACACGAATTGTAATGTACCGAAAGTGGACTGTTAGTTGACAAGGAATAAAACTATTTCAGCTACCATTTTGACCGGGTATCTTGCTTTTAATAACGCTTTAAAACCAACCTGATATACCAGTTTATGTCACAGTAAACAGCTGGGAAACAAAGAAAAAGCAAAAACAAAGAAAAACAAACAAACAAACAAAAAATCGATGGAAAAATCTTTCCGTACGGTAGGGGGATGAAATATATATATATTGAGAGTTTATTTTTTCTGTCATGACTCATGCAGTTTTCGTTCACGTCTGAAATGTTTATCTCTGTCTTGGTACATTCAAATGCATTTATGAAGAAATTGATCGAGGCCGAAATGCCCCTTAGGCATGCAAGAACTAAACAAAAAAATGACAGTTATCGTTATAAGTTTTCAGCTCCTCTTTTTCACGGCCTTTGCGGGAGAACTAGAAAATAACCACTCTGTGGACAGAATGACACACAGCACCTTATATTAGTCTTTTTAAATTCTTACAGATGTCTGTTGCAGGAAGCGATATTATAATAATCACGTCTTCAGAGTGTCTTCTGCTCCTCAGGTTTTCTCTCTTTTAATTAAACCTTTCAATGATTTAAGTGCGAAGGGAAAAAGGAATTGTAGAAACCCACAAATTGTGAAAACTCGTACGGACCTAAGACAGACTTCGACAGACTAATATAAACCCTATACAGAAGTTGTCTGCTCAAAACTCCTCAGTCATTTGACTACTCTACGTTTTTGCACCTCAAGTAAAAATAATATGCCGTGGATGGTTCTTAGTTTGCTATTTTATTTATTAATTTTTTTGGAGTCTTCCCTGTCATGGTCATAAATAAAAGAAAAAGATATCACACCAAGTGTTTTCCCACGTTCTTGTTTATTTTTCAAAAATTTTGGAAAATCAAACTGAGATCGGTTTTGTGGTTTTAGTTTCTTCAAGACTAGACCTAAGCCAGTGGAAATCTTTTGGTGTAACCAAAGACAACGAAACATGATACTGTGCATGGTGTATAAAATTCGACATCTGCCGCGCGTTTAATAGTTCTTATGACATTCGCTGATAAGGAAATTGTAATTTGCGACTCTTTTGACGGGTACGTGCTTGACAACAGCAAAGCCTATGTAAATCTCGCAAGAAAGCTTGTCAAGAAAATCAGTTGACAGATTTGAACAGCCAATGCTTTTGCGTGTAGACAATGAGCGCGAGCAGAACTATTAAGGAAACACTTGGTTTTCTCCTTCTGCTAGGGACTTCCCACACGTAGATTGTTTAAAAGTCAACGACGGAAACCTTGAAGGACATTGACAAATGGTGTATGGCTGAAAAAAGACTCTCCCTAACTTAAAAAGGAACATGACCCCCATTTGAGCAGCAATACGTTGTTTTAGGAAAAGCTTCATACAATTAATTTTACGAAAACAATAACTGTTCAGATGTATTGTAAAGTTGATTCCTCTGTTGAATTGGTATTGACTTGTAGCTGTACCATTGGGCCTTGAAATCCTGCCTTTGCGTCTCGAGAAGAAAGAGGCGCTGGTGAAATGTAGAAACCCCATCTGACGGATGCAAAGGATAAATTTGAGGACGTTGACTCACATATTTGTTAATTGCAATGGAGGAATATTCCAGAGGAAAAGTGCTTAAGTCCGTCAAAGGAAGTATCCTGGTTTTAATGAACGCTATAGCAATTTGCGGCAACATTTTCGTTTGCTGGGCAATTTACAGAAAGCGAAAAACCTTCAGTGTGCTTTATTTATACATCTTAGCGTTGGCAATATCAGACTTAACAGTCGCCATTACTTGTTTTCCTTTCTGCATTGAAGCCTTTCTAGCAGATAGATGGCTACATGGCCACGCAATGTGCCAATTTATCGGATTTACAATCTATTATTGGGCGGGAATCTCTGTTCCTACACTCGCTCTGACAGCGGTTAATCGCTATTTTCGGGTTGTAAAAACACACATTTACCAAAATTTTTTTACGATAAAGTCCAGCGTGAAAATGATATTAACTGTATGGGCGCTAACCCTGTTTGATGGACTGATATCAACTTTTGTTGGCCCAGTTATATACAAGTACAACCCAAGATATTTTTTCTGTATTGGAACATTTGTAAGCAAAGCGCATGAAAGAGCCATCGGTTTATCTCTGCACCTAATCCACGTTTTCATTCCGCTTCTCACAATCCTTTTTTGCTACTCCAATGTATTCTTTGCGATACGTCGACATAAAACGAACGTGATGCCCTCGCTCCACGCTGGTAATGGTCAGCAGCTTGCAGTTAACGCGTGGGAAATGCGTGTAACGCGATTGCTGTTTCTTGTGGTTGTTGGGTTTCTTCTTTGCTGGATTCCCGTCATTATTATTGGGTTACTAGCGCATTCGTCTTCTCTCAAACTACCTGACTCTGCTTACGAATTGTACACTTTCTTTGCCTTTGCTTCGGCGGTCATCAATCCCATTATATATGGAGTGGCTAACCGTGGATTTCGGAGGGAATTTATTGGTATTTTTCGATGCAGTTAACTTTAATAGAGTAGGGCTTCATTGTCCTTGGTCACTTGGAAAACACAATTGAACTGGAAGAATCAATCCATCAGTCAGTCAAGATTTCTCTTATTCACAGCACAGTCCCTGGAAAGCGAAATGGTTTTATTAAATGTAGCTAGTGCCTTTGTACGTACCGTATTTATTCGATTGACCGCCCTGGGCGCTTATTAAATTTTTGGACCTTGAGAGTGGACGCTTATTAAATTTTCAGCATTTTCAGCAAGTGAAGTATTTATATTTTGCAACAAAACAATAAATGCTAATAACAAAACGCGAAGAAGTAACAAAGCAAGGTTTCTGTAAAACACTCTGAAGAAAACTCCGTCCTCGGGGAAGTCTCTTATTAGAATTTATTCACTCAAGTGGGTGGGGTGGGGGTGAGCGTTTATTTGAGTTTGATTGGGAGGAGGATGGGGTGGGCGCTTATTCGAGGCTAGGCGCTTATAAACTTTTTCTGCCTTTAGGTTGGGCGCTTATTCGAATAAGTACGGTACTAACCCTTATATCAGTCAGTGTACAAGTAAAAGACACCACAGAAAGCTTCATTTTACATTTTTTTTTTTCACCAAAATAGTCAGTACGGTTATTTGTACTGAAAGAGGTTAAGCCCTCTCCCGATAGCAAAATGATAAAACTTGTTACATTTGAAGAGACTTGTTACATTTGTGCGCATTAGATCATATATTTGAATGCTATTTTGCGCCTAATAAATAATAAATTATTATTATTATTATTATAACTTTCCCGCCAATACGACATTCTCGCTAAAACCCGTTGTAGAATAACGATGGCTATCACGTTTTCCGGCCAAAATGACGCTGGCTCAAACGCGTACCCCACTTTATAGGATTGAGAAAATCTCGTACTCATAGTTGCCCTTTAAGTCGCCCTCGTCCTCGAATCTAAAGCTCTCTATTGGCGTAACCATAGAAACCGAGGTTTGACTGGCATGGCAAGCGTTATTTTTTTAGATGAATCAAGAGCCATACTCTTCATAACAAATTAAAACCTTCCGGTTTATTTTGCATGGTTAGTTTCATTATCAAGCTTCAGTATAACAGAGCTTTTTTGGAGATAATTTGTGAAAAACATTGATGATCTGGCCAAATGACAGATGTACGTCGCGGTCAATTTACTTATGTTTACTTATGTCGGGGTACGATTTCATTTTTGTAGGGAAAGTTCACCGATCCGGCTAAGGAAGCACACTGAAAACAAGAAAAAGAAGCAAAGCCAGCGAGTTTTGTTCACCAAGGAGTCACATGCATGGCTATTTCTGAGGAAAACAACTTAACAATTAATCTACATGTAATGTGGTTATATAGTTAAAACATTCTTTCATTTGTAGAAGTTATAAATGTTCATCATTCAATTAAGATTTTGGCTTTTTCCTGCAAAAAAGTCCTTCAATACTTGAATTCGTTTCGCCTTTTCATCGTCCTCTGTTAATCCATGGCCTTTCACGGGAGCCTCAAACTCGAGATCCTCTGCCTCAAAGTATTCTGGGTAGTATTCAGAATAAAGTTCCCTGAGTTGCTCAAATGTTCGACCGATGAAGCCGTCATCACTGTCAGCCTGCTCTCTGAGTTCCGTAAGGCAATTCCGGAAGCTGTTAAAAACAGAAGAGCAAAACTGCAGATTCGCCCCAGAAAAAATCAAACTTTGCGCAGTTTCAGGTTTTGTTCAAAAGTTGTTCTTGCAGCTTCGGCTTACGGCCGAAAATGTATCGGTCTGCGGACGATTCAGAGAAATTTCGTCGATCTTCAGGATCTTCCTTTCGTTAACGGTCGATGTCCTTTCTTATGATTCTCAACCTTTCATTAAAAGCGTTTCTAATGGAAAGACTCTCAGAATCAGACTCAAGGATCTCCTATACTAATCTTTGGATCTCTCTTAAAAACAGAACTCGCCACGATTCCGAAAAAAATGCTTACACACGTTCTCATAAACTGTCTCTCCAGAGACATCTAACTAACCTCCCTAACCCTTGACGTAATTTTTACTCGGGCTTAAACCTCGTTTACATCTATCGTAATTAAAGGCTTGGTTATCAATGGTGGCATCGACAGAATTAATTAAATGTCAACGACCGTTTATGAAAGGGAAAACAGGTCTAGTCTAGGGCAATAAAATCAGCTGGGTCTGGAGAAGCTGAGTTTACTTATATATACATTCCTTTATTCGAGTTTCCGTTTATTTCTGTTTTTCTTTTTTTTTTTTTAGTTGACAGCCCTGAATGAATTTTTGAACGAAAATAACATAATTTAGAATTTTTTTCAAAGTTTTCTTCGACGCTGGTAGCATTGTGTGACCAAACTAGGAAATACCGGAAAACTGCCACCCGCCTCTCCCAAGAAGTTGGGTTGGACGGAGGGGTTGGAAGGGGGGGAGGGGGGTTAGGTGGGAAGAAATATTACGTACACTGTTCAAGTCTTTCTGTAATGCTGTTTAAATCAAGGACGATGCTTACCTGTATTTATTACAAAAGTTTTGCGTGACACTAACGGTGTCGTCAAGGTTCAGGACAGCATGCCACCAGCCACTAGGGATAAAGACTATATCCCCTGGTTTCTGAACACACTCGATAGGCAGGTTACTCTTCTAAACCAAGAAACACACATGTACAATACAGAAATTGGTAAACGCATTGCTTATAAAATAATAAAGTGGATAAACTAACGCTAAGTTAAATTGTCTGTGTCACGGGTGTCTAGTTCATTTTCTTACTTCGTAATGCGAATTGCGACAATTGCTCGTCCATGGAACTTGAACTAATTAATGTAAATGACAAAGCGACAGCTTCGTGTCAATGAAATATGTCTCCCCAGCATTATGAAATGAACTTTGAAATACTGTTAGGCTAACAAGTTTTCAAAAACCACTATTGCAGTCCGTTTCAATCTTCCTTCAAGTTTGACCATCCGTGCCTTCACTTGAATTTCCTGTGTTATTCGTTCTGCACCTTCTTTTCGTGTTTTGAGCAGTTATTTAAATGTTTTATTCAATTCATACGAAGCATTTCCCATTGTTTGAATTTTGATGACAGAGCTCCTTAAAGTGTTACATACAGCTGTAAGAATTCACTTACGAATAAAGCTATTAAGCGTAAAAGGTTTAACACAACGTTTCGATGTCGTCATGACATCATTATCAAGTGACAAAGACAAACTAAAATTGGCCTAATATATATGGTACAAAAAGGATTCAGTATAGTAAGTAAAAATAGAAAGATAAAACCGAATTTTATTTAAAAAAACAAACAAACAAACAAACAAAACTTTTACATTTTTTTTTTTGAAATTTGCACATATTAAAACTCGGTTGTCATGGTAACATCAATAGTGACTTTCAAGTTACGACGACTTTAAAATGTTTCAAGATAAATTTTGGTAAAATTCGCTAGGTTTAGAGGTCATAGTTTGAACGGTTTTGAAGTTATCTGACTTTAAAGCTTGGAGAGTGGAGGAAGGACACTGTTGAATTGGTTTAACTTTTTTAATAAAGCGACGTGAGATTGGTGTAAACCTAACAGCAATGAATTCGAAGGGAAAAAATAAATCTTCTCTGGCTGAAGATCATACCAAGTATGGCCGAGTATAGATCCACCAATAGAATGCATCTTCCATGTCGTAATCTCTCTTCTTATAGTTGTTGTTCTTCACACCTAAACAAAAACCATGACAACAGTGATGAATTTCGACTTCATTGGACACTATAAATATTGAAAGTGAAATTTAGGTAGCAGACTAAACGAGAAACATTCTGTCGTTATTTTGCGTTTTTTTAAAGCCCTTTTGAAGGGCTACTAGCTCTCCTCGCTCAGTATATAGTTGATCATACTGTATAACATGTCTCCCCGAATTTAGATTTTTTTTTGTGAGTTGCGATGTCATTGGCGGATGTCGAATTTAACTTACCAAGGGTCTTAAATGGTTTTAGCTGGGATCACTAAACGAAAAGAGCACCTCAAGGCACGTTTTATATAAGAACCAATTATCACAAACTCACCAGGAATATGATATACAGAAGGTGGGTACATTCCCCATAATTTAGCCCCCTGTATGAGCGCCAACCATCCAGTGGTATTAGCAGGGTCCACGTGCCATCCGGAGCCACTACGCTTGGCAGCCATGATAATCCAGCGCCAATCCAGCCGTAAATCGTCATCCAAACCAGTCAAGAAGTCATCAGATTCAGAAAAGAAATCCGGTACAGTATAATCCTGTCAAAAATGACAACGAATTGTAATCGTCAAAATGCCAAACTGCCTAACGAGCGACGGCAACCAGGACATTGTAAGATATGCACCTTGTACGCGGATATTTTGCAAACTGAGAGGAATTTGTAAAATGTTATCCCGTATCTACTACTAAAACACCGAATGAGGGGTTATGAGTCCATTCCTATTAAGCTTCAAATCAGTACGCTAAGACTCTGTTCAGTAGGATAACAAAACGCGTTGAGAGCGACACCCCCATGCCAACGGTTTTTGAACCGTTTTCGGCCGTCAATACTCTCTTTTTGGAATCCGCAAACTTTTCTCTGCAAATTCAAATTTTCTCGTCCACACGTAGCGTATCGAAATCGAATTTGCCCGTCCACACATAACCGGATTCACTCTCAGTTCGTCAGCTGATTTGTATAGCGATGCGAACTTTTCTCGCCACTTTTTAAATAACTGTTTCGCTGACAAAATCGTCCCACAAAGCACTAGTTCGCTCATTTAACTACCGTCCGACATGGACAGAAGCCTCAGAATGTACACGTCGAGCAAGCGTTTGGCATAATTGCAGTGTACAGTGATCATAGCTACAATAGCGTTAATTACACGCGCGTTATAAGACTTAAAACTGAAGTCCAAGAGGTAAAGAAGAGATAACCTAGTGCTCGGCACCAACTTGAATATTCACGGCAAAGAACTGGGGTCGATCTCGTTACTTCACTGTTTAAAAAAAAATCTGGATCTAGCGTCCACACGATTCCAGATTCTTAGCGCATTCAAAAAAATTCCACTCTGGAGAGCGGATTTGTATGCAGGATTCACCGGATACGTGTGGACGGAAGCCACAGAAAAGAAAAAGTTGCGGATTCAAAAGCCATCTGCTAATTCGTTTTCGGTTCCTCCGTTTCCATTTTTGGGCATGTGTAACCTCTTAGAGAGCTTGCTTAAGAGGCAACCGTGATTTTTTTTCCCTCTCTCTTTTTTTTAATCCACATTTCTTTAAGTTCGATTCTACTTGAGGAGCTATTACGGCAGTGTTTGAGTTACCTGGATTTTTTTTTTCTCCCGGTCACACTGATACGAAACCCACGAGTCACTTACTACAGCGTTTTCGACAACCTCCGTTTTAAAATCCTTCACCTTTATATTTCGTGCTCTGCTATCCATATACGGTTAATGACGTCATAGTGAAACAATAAGAATTCACTCAGTCTATAGTAACGTTAGTTATTTCTGTCAAATACGTGACATGGCCGTGTTGGCTAAGTAACCGCGCTTTCCTTGCTGATAAGTTTTGGCAAGGACAATAAACATGACTTCTTTGAATTCACAGCTGTTACAACAATCATGTTCATCACTACATCACTCACCATCCTCAGCTCGGGATACAAATCAAACACGTCCGACATAAAAATGACCCACGGCGCAGTCTCATTGGCTGCCCTTTCTTTCAAGTATGTCACGTAGTTTGTTAAAGGCACTGGTGTCGACCTCCGACCGACAAAAACGCCGTCTGCTATTCGAGGGTCGTGTTGAAACTGTTCAAATGGCCACTTCTTCATTGCTTTCCAGTCATCCATCATGCCTGTTATAATACATGCTTGACCTGCGTAACATATTATGATTATTTAAGTGACATAGACGAGAGCTCAGATTATACAAGTGACAGACGAGAGTTCGAAAATCCAATAGGCAGATGTAGAAAAAGCTGGCATTCCTTGGTTTTCCACGAAGCGACAAAGAAACGTCTAAGGAACGTGTGCAGAAATTTCGTACTGATGACGCGTCTCTTCCCAGATCTGGGTAGTGCTTCTGATTGGTTGAAGCAAATCTTCAGCCAAAGGAAAGCACTACCCAGATCTGGGTAGTGACGCGTCGTCAGTAGGGAATTTCTGCGCCTGTTTCTAACCTGGTTTCATGCACTTCTCGGTAAATTCCTGTTTAGTTGGCTTGTGAATTTTTGGTATCGTACAGTGTGTACTATGTATTGGCCAGGTGTCCTCTGGGTCTAGGTTTCTCAGAAAATCCTCAAAACTGCTAACTCTTGCTTGAAATCTTTTCTCGTGCGGCTGAAGATTTTCTTTGTCACCTTTGTAAAGGCAAAAATGGTTGTTAATTCTTAAGACATGCACTCTACATGCGGGCGCCTTCTCTTTTGATGGACGTCTGCACTTCCATGAAACATTTCAACCGCTTTTTAAGAGTCTTCGCGTACCCTAAAGATACTCGCTACTTAAAAGAGCGATATCCAGAATCCAGTAAATTAAATCCGGAATCCATTGCTTGCAATCCAGAATCCAAGGATGACACGGATTCCCTGACATGTGGCTACTTAATGTAGTTTTATTATTCATTCATTAAATAATTTCCCCGATTCTCGTTGGCTAAAACCACAGGCATAATTCACCACAACAGCTACTGATGACTACATTTGGAAGAATTTTACGATTAATCAACCGATGACGTCAAAAGTGCAGCTTCCTTGCAAGTTAATGCACCGTCACCGAGACGACCTGGGGACGAGGTTGAGTTGTTTCGGTTGGAAAATAAAAATGGCGGACATTTCTCTCGTCGAAATAATAGCTAAAAACATGGCAAGAACAGCAAGACGACAACTCGAAGGGCGACATCTGCTAATTGGAGAATATTTGCGGAGCTGAACAAACCTAAACGTGCACTATCGAAGATCAACTTAACATCGATGGAGGTAAGCATGTCTCAGCTATGTTTTTAAACTAGGAAATATTTTTGAATGAATAGCAAAACAATTATTGAATTCGGCTTTCGTATCATATGAAGAATTATGGAGATCTAGGAGGGTGTTATCCGCCTCGGCCTACTGCCTAGACGGATAACACCCTCCTCCTCGATCTCCATAATTCTTTATAAAATACTCAGCCTCATTCATTAATTGTTAAATAATTACAGCCCAAGCACTAAAACATTTGAACTAAAACAGCGCTAGCCTTGATCCGGTCACCACCTCTCGCAAGATAACAGTTTTTATCCTTAGTATAACAACTAAGTTAACCGGGTGGCATACTAAAAACTCTTTTTCAAACCTATACCCCTCCAGAAGATAATTTTTTTCAGGAAGGACAGGACTGTTTACCCCCCACCGGGAGGCTCAAGGGGGTACCTTTTTTCAGGTGTTTGTTATATCAAAGGGTAGGGATTTCACGAGTTGAAGGTACAAAAGGTAGGGAACTCTGTCTGTTCGGTCGGAAAGTCCCAAAGTACCTAACAAATGTCTTGTGTCTGTGAAAAGGGCGAGAAGTCGTTCTGGTTTCGTGATTTTTTTTTCGTATTTTAAAGACAACGGTAGAAAGGGATGCAAAAATCTAAACTAGGTATGTGAAAGAGATGCCTTTGGTCAATAGAAGGTACACGAAGGGGGTCATTTTTCCGTCAATGAAATTGGTATGTAAAAGTTAAGAGCTCGGTTGGACCTCGGGTGCGTGACCTCCCCGTATAAAACTTTGTTAAGTAATTAATCTCCGGGTGTTCAGCTTACCTGTTTTCTGACCTCCTTCGATATAAAACAGTTCCGTATCCTTGCATAACTCCCTTTTGTCCTTGAGCAGTGCGCAGACTCTTATCTTATGTTCCCCACCTTCTAAATTCTCCGGTACGATAACATACTTCTCATAAATCATTCTTTCCCTCCGCTTTTCTGGAAACAATATATCGGCAGGGTACGAGTGGACGATGTCTCCCTTGCTGTTCAATACCTTCAAAAGCCATTTGTCAGCCTCTTCATCGCTGTACACAAATGAGACTCGCCGAGATTTGCCGTTTGCCACCCATACACTGGTTTGCTTGGGCTCAAGGATTTCAAGCACGTTGAAAGCCATACTAGCTAAAACAATAAAATTTATTTTTCGCAAAGTGAGAAGAAACGTTTCCATTTTAACAGTCGGTGACGAGCTGGCATGTAGAAGGCAACGGTAAATTCTGTTTTCAAAGTAGTTCAACTAAAATAATTATGTCATTGAAAAGTGGAAATGACGCTTGTTTAACATACATATAATTACATGGGTAGACCGATCGGTTCACGGTTTGGGCAAATGGTAAGCAAACTTCAGGACTGTAAATTTCGTCTCGGAATCGCGTTCAGCATTTGTACAGAGACGGTTTTTGAAGAAATGGACTAATTTCCGTTTGGAACATTCAGTCCGGATAACAATGACTACCTTTTCAGTTTTTCCGTACGTTGTTCCCAGAAGACCCAAGAAGTCGCTTTCCGTTTACTTTCCGACCGGATTTTCGGGAAACTTTTTGTATTACTTGAAATGGTCAACGACCAATATTAGCCACGAATTAAGTTCGTTCAGTTAGCTTCCTGTAGCAACACTGTGGAGACTTTTCACTTTCACTTGCTCCCTGTAATAGGCTCACTTTGTATTCGGAAATTAAAAATCTTTGGAACAGATTTCGAGAACAAAAAGAATTATTCATGGTTATCATAGTCCGGAGTCAGGAGAGCTTTAATCCTGGAAAGAAATCTCATCAATCGTTTTTCTGTTGGCTAGTCGACTGACACTAGTTTGGGCTTGAAGGAATTGATTTGCAAAACGACAACAATGAATGCTCCATTTGTTGTGATTACCTATTTACATCAATAATTAAAGAAAAACGACATGAGTCAAACTTTCACCTCTTTGAACCTACGTACCTTGGAAACAGAACAGTATCATACGCATGATTTTCAAGGCTTGGGTCATGTTCTGCTGTGTTATCCCCTAGTTTATAAGAAGAAAAGCAAAAGCATTTATGCAATAAAGTTTACTGTTTCTTGTTCAATTCAAAACATTTTCTCAACATTCACACAAAACCAGCTACACGTTAATTATCAAGTTTTGTTACATCATGAGGAAAAAGATAGTCACTTACTCTAACAGAATATATAGCCTTTCAAGTGCTGTAAAATGAATTCTTTCAATTCTATATCGGTGTTTTTTCCAACTCCATTTCTACAGTTTTTCCGCTTAAAGAGACTTTAAACTGATAGTCTGCATATGACGCATGTGCCATGGATTCAGATCACCTGTTATTTGGGCATTTTAACGTAGAGCAAATACAGGCGGTTAAGCTGTGTTTACCATACAGAAAATTATCGTTTCGCCGTGTATAGAGCCCAGTTTTGGATCACAAACTGTCTAAGATATAAAAACAAGCACAGTACTTTAGTTAACAGGATTTCTTCCAATGGAAGATTATAATATTAATTTATCAGGACAGTGTAGTATATCAAAAGTTGGAAAAAAATGTCCTTTGAACACCAGTGACTATTTTTTTGGTCTCACAAACGCATGTATGTTTGTTGTTGTTGTTGTTGGTTACATACACACATTCTCATACAATCGACTGTAAAACTACATGGTTCAAAAAGGAATTTTGAGAGCTGAACAAGGTGGTTTCAGAAAAATGCACGGTACAGTTGATAGCATTTCCACATTAAAAAAGCTTATTGACAAGTATGTGAAATCCAAGCCTCAGAAGCACCGAAATTTACTCTTTTCATGTTTCGTCGACTTTAGAAAAGCCTTCGACTATATACCTCGACAAAAACTATTCGACAAACTGAGAAAAGAAGGTGTCCAAGGAAAGTTTCCTAGACCTTTTAATATCCATGTATGTACTCAAATGATAAATCGGCAGTTAAAATTGGTAACAAATTAACCGAATCCTTTACTTGTCATGCCGGGGTAATAGTCCAGCTGTTATCGACCAAAATTGTTCACTTTTATGATAAAAGCATGAAACTTTGCCAGATTACAACCAACCCTAAGACTAACATTTTTGGATATGGAGCCAAGCCAATTTCAACATTGGACACGAGTACTGCGCAGGCCCTAAAATGGCCTACATGAGAACGAGGCTGTTAGTGGAAATCCTTCTAAGATACCCTTTTTGAGTGTTTCTGTAAATAAAAGTCGTAGATATTGTGGAAGAAGACATTTGCTTTACTTTCATGCTTTCTTTGGTGTCACGTGACCCCTCCTTCCAAATATGGCGGGCTATTGTCGGGTGTCCTGTGCTGAAGCTATCTTCTGTGCATTTGTGTGTTTAAAGGGGTGAGAAGGGGCACCTTTTCAGGCAAGTTCAAATAATAACACTCTTGCAACTATTAGGGACTTTTAGCACCGACGGTTTTCAAGACGGCTACGGGAACCGGAAATGAAGTCAGACTCTTTTTCGCGCGCGCGAGTGTCACCCTCGGTTTCTTGCCTCCGTAGCGGCCTTCCCTAGTACGGCAAACCGAGTAGTTTGACGTACTGGCGACTACGGGAGTTTTAGGTGAGTATTTTTTAACCTTTTACTTGACTTTTATTGTTTTCATTTGAAAAACAACTTCTTATTCCTTTTCTTCATAAATTTAGACCAGTTTTCTTTAGAATTGGTTTGATATTTTTGCTTTATTTACGCTTTTTTCACAGGTGTGGATGACACATGTCGGTCGAAAAGCATCTCAAGTGAGCTTATTTTTGTACATGATTTTGCTTGTCCTTTCCGTTTTCATTTTGATATATAACGCTAATACTGTTTATCTAAATTGTTTCTTAACGTTTGGACGTGGGCTTTTCTTTCAAGTTTTTATCTGTTGTTATGTTTCAGTCACCGAATATATATCTTTTTTATAACTAGACAAAACATGCCTTTTTTGCCTATGGCTGCTTTAATTTTGATATATAATGGTGTTCTGCTTCCGGTCGGGCATCAAAATAAAAGGCGAGAAGCATTTAAACGTGTTCATATGAGTTGCTAGACGTGATAACGGGCTGTATATTCTTTGCATGTCGTCGAGATAAAAAAGTTTGTACTGCTCGTGAGGAAAATCTAAGTTAGTTGACCTATTCACATCATACAGGAGTAGAAACTCCTCTTCTGTAATTAACCTTTCATCTAATGCATGCAGCATAGAGCAACTGTTCTCGAGCCTTCTTTAGGGACATTTTTCCCTAAACATCTAGTTTTGTGTCCGAGTCTCTACGACTATTTCGTTCACGCCGTACTCAGGGATTGTTTTGGTTGCTAAACTATATTTATTTTCGCGGGCTTTTGCGCGGACGGGGCCTTGTATCCCCAGTCCCCGCGCGATCTAGTTCGCCGTAGCCGTCCTGAAAACCGTCGGTGCTAAAAGTCCCTATTGTCCAATCACCAACGGCTGTTTTTACCATACAAATGCAAATCATTACATGAAAACGAGGCAAAAATCTTTTCAGCGGTTTGAAAAGCCTCCAGTTAGTCCTGCGTGCAGTCATCTTGAGTTGGATTCATAGACCATTGCCTAAAAGCCTGAATTGATCAAAAATTGTGATCGCACGACGTTTTTGCAGAGTTATTAGGGACCTTAAGATCCGACGACGGCGACAGCAACGGGAACGCCACAAAAGCAATAGGTTTAATTAGCAAAACAACAGTTTTGCACGTGCATCACGCTTTTTTGTACATTTCTTTGCCGTCACTGCACAACTACGACGTGAAAATGCCCATTTTCACGGTGTACATAGGAAGTACACAAGCGACGACGAAATTTCCTCCCTCTTTCTGAACTTGGATATGGTTCTTAGGAATTCAACTTTAGAAGGGTTCGTGTACATTTGACAAAGTTAGTGACTTGGAGTAATCGCTATGAAGATTGAAAGAACGCGAATTCACTTTTTCAGCGACGTTTTCTCTGCCGTCGCTGTCCTCGGATCTTAAGGTCCCTATTTTCTCCACAGACGACAATCGAAAGTCACATGAGGGCGAAACAGCTGTCTATGGCTACAATCCCGCTCTGTTTTGAGTTCTTTCGGTGTCGTGTTGATGTCGTGCAGAGTTAATTTTCACGTAGTACGATCAGCATTGCAGTATTCTGCTTGCAGAACTTTATATGTCCATATGACATAGACTTTTTCCTTAAATATGCCATATTGAAGGAATTGAAGAGCCCCCCTTTCTGATAGTTGTATCCTGAAGATAGTTGTAGATGTCACTGTATCTAAAGAAAAGGTTGTACACCAGTTTTGCCAATGGTGAATCGACACCGTCCCAAAGAAGTAGTTTTTCTTTCATTTAAGAGTTCATAGCCACAGACTGCCACGATATATCCCTTCAGTAGTCAAAGTTAAAACCTTTAGACTTGTATGCCTCAGAAGTGTTGTTCCCTACACATGTCCCATTCATACACTGCTCGACAGGCATGTTGCATGAGCACTACTTGAGTTGAGGAAACACTATGAAGGTCACTTTATCTTCTTTTTCACTTCTTGCCTCGTTTTATTGAAGATAATGAGGGCTGGATAAACAAACGCAAGTGCAAGCCGAAAAAACCAATTGAACTCTTTCCCCAAACGCTTTTGTTTGAACTTAACACTTGTCAACCAGGAAAAAATAAGTGCAGCCTACTTTCTAGCTGTCTATTTGGGGCTATAGTGAACCGTCACGTGCAAACTGCACTCAAAAGGAGACGCAAGAGGGAGGGGTGTTAATCGAAAGACCTTGCTCGCAGGCTAACGCAAACGCAAGGTAAAAAATGTCTGTCTGACGTAATGGGATCTAGGATAATCAAATGGGCTTGTGTATCTCACTGTGTATATGGTGGCCTAGGAGTGCCATAAGAAAATTGTGTAGTATCTTGTAAGTTCCCCGTAATTTATAATGTTATTTCATTTTATTTTTAAACTTTAAACGAAAAAAAATTATTATCGAGATACTTTAAATCAAATTTAAACGAAAAAAATAGAAAGTAAAGTAAAATAATTTTTAAGCAAAAGTAAAATGAAACGAAAATAATATTTCCTTGGCCTAGCAGTGCCATAAGATTTTTCCAAAAAAAAAAAAAAAAATGTTGTTCATGGCCTATCGATGCCAGAGCCCACAATGCACTTCGCTGATCTTTTGCGTGGCTCCTAAGCGATGT